TTTATCTACCTTCTTTCCCACTCTATTAGATGTTCCACCTCTGTCTTCCTATAGTTATACCTGCATAATTATTGTAACCCTTCTTAACCATACTGTAAACGTGTTATACAGGGCAAGTGCAGTCATAACCCAAAATGTTTTTTTTTTTAATCTTTAGAGACTCACAGTGTGTCTAATGTATAGTAAGTGATCTATAGATATTTGCTGATTAAATAATCAAAGATGTAAAATTTGTTTTCTCATTCTGACCTTTATACATTTCCAACACCCTTAAGTGTTAGTAGTCGTTTTACTGGTACAGAGTCCAGTGAGTTTTAAAGAACAGAGTTCTGTAAATCTTATTTATACCCAGTGTCTAACATAGTTCCTGGTATATAGGAGAAACTCAAATATTTGTGAATAAATGATTACAGGTGATCATGAGCAAATGAGCTATTACATTTTTAAAGTGTTAGTATTCAACCTGACGAAGTAAAACCATAAAAACCAAAGTAGAAAATCAAGTGCTTCATTTTCTTGACAAGTTTAATTAATATTTATCAATTTGATGAGAGCTCAGGGAGCTGTAAAGTTTCCTGTTAGTGTAGTGTGTAACAACAGTGTGACCTCATTACCAGGCTCTACTGTTAGATCTCTTCTTAGAGATTGGGTGTATTATTTTTTTTTGTTAGAATTTGTTAAGTTTATGAATTAGACTTTACCCATTTTTATTCTTAGGCCTTGCTGTTTTTAGAGAGGGGCAGGGAATTCAGGAGATTACCATAGGTTATGTCAAAATGATGGAAGTAGTAGTCCCAAATACCCCATTTATTCATAAAATATGCCAGAGGCAAAATATTACATGTATCACATGTCTTCTGTTATGGTGTTGCATTTTGAAAACACTAACTTGAGTGATAAAAGGCAGGTTCTGAAGCAGAATATATTCAGTTTACTGTCAGCACCTTTCTTTAAAGACTTCAAGGTTAATGTCAATCATTATGAATAGAATGCCTGTCATTACAGTCTCTTAACCTAGATAGAGAAATTAAATCCCAGTACTCTAAGTCATGTTGTATGCCTTACTTCTCATGAATAGATAATAGTAACTATGTTCCATCCCTGGGAGAATTGAGAAAAAAGTCACCCAATTCACATTGGGTAAGACTTAATTCTCTCACAGATAACTGTTGAGAAAGGCTCCTTCCTTAGGAGGCATATTGTGCACCTAAACGCAGGTCACTGAATTCTTAGTAGGTGGAGACTCTTTGATCACTATTGATTTGAGACAAAATTGAATGGTGATTTAAGAATAAAAGATAAAGGGTGCTTGGGTGGCTCAGTGGGTCATGATCTCACTGTTCATGAGTTTGAGCCCTGTGTTTTGCTCTGTGCTGACAGCTCAGAGCCTGGAGCCTGCTTTGGATTCTGTGTCTCCCTCTCTCTGCCCCTCCTGTGCGCACATTCTGACTCTCTCACAAATAAACAGTAAAAAAAAAAAAAAAAAAAAGAATGTAAGATAATATTCCTGTGACAGTTCTCAAAGTGTGGTCCTTGACCTAAACTTGTTGGAAAGTGTAAAATTCTTGTGCCACATCTCAGTGATATCTGATCTACTGAATCAGAAAATTGGAGGTAAGAAGTAGAGTGACGGGGCCCAGTTTTAGAAGTCACCTGCACTAGGTGACTTTGAAACATACGGAAGTTTGAGAATCTCTGTTCCATGCTGTCTGTTGACTCTTGCTTTCATTTCTTCATCCAAACACTCCAGAAAATACTTACTCAAGTGTTAGAAAAATCCTGATGTGATTCCCTGAATCATCTCTCCTAACTAAATATATTCCCAATGAGTAGTTGAAATTTAAAGTCAGCTAGCTAGGGTATGTATTCTCAAATTGGGTCATTTTACTTTTGTGATTAAAATTATTCAATGTGATATAGGGCATTCAACCATTTTTTTCTCCCAGCCATTTTCATACCATTTCCTTATTGATTTGCAATGCAATCATTTGTGTCTTTTTACTTTATCTTTTTTGTTTCTGATTTCTAATCTAATTGTATTTTACTCAGAAAATATAATCTACATTAGTTGTCAGCAAACTCATTTGGTCACCCTGAACCCAATAATAGTTTTGCACTTTTTGAGTGTTTAAAACAAAAACAAACTCCAAAATATGTGACAAAGACTGCATGTGGCCTCCAAATCTAAAATATTTACTCTCTCTTCAGGAAAAATTTGTTGACCCCTAATCTATGTGATACTTACTTTTTGAAATTTGTTGAGATTTGCTTTATAGCCTAATATGCACAGACTGTTTTAAACTTTTATAAAGGAACTTGTGAAATATATGTATTTTCTGATCATTAGGTACAGATTTCTGTATATGTTCATTAAATTAAACTTACTAATTTCACTGCTCACATCCCCTGTATAACTTTACTGAATTTTGGGGGGCATTGGTTTGACCTATCAATAATCAACTATTACACTTTCACTTTGATGTTGGACTTTTCACTTTCTTCTGGAGTTCTATTTGCTTTTTTGTTTTTTAATTTTTTTAACATTTATTTTTGAGATACAGAGAGAGGCAGAGCATGAGCAGGGGAGAGGGGGAGAGAGAGAGAAAGAGAGAGAGATACAGAATCTGCAGCAGGCTTCAGGCTCTGAGCTGTTTGTTAGCACAGAGCCCGACGCGGGGCTCGAATCCATGAACTGCGAGACCATGACCCGAGCTGAAGTTGGATGCTCAACCGACTGAGCCACCCAGGCACCCCTGGAGTTCTCTTTGCTTTAATTTATTTTGAGGCTCTTTCAGCAGGGCATACAAATTGAAAATTTTTATCTTCTTAGATACAATTTTTATTACTATGTGGAGAGGTTTTTTTTTTTTTCTTTTAATCGTTAAAAATACCTTTTGTTTTAAAGTCTGTTTTGTCTGATTTGATATTTTTGGTAAAGCCACCAGCTAGTTTTGCTTCTTATTTATAGGAGGATCTTATTCCATCTAACCTTCTCTGTTCTGTGTTTCAGGTGTAGCTCTAATGTTCACTTGACTGCTGTTTAGTAATTCTGTCAATTTTTTGAGTGTTAAGTTTAATTCACTTATACTTATTGTGAGTACTGATATGTTTGGACTTATTCCTCTTTGTCCTTCTTAATCTTTACTTTGCCTTTTTGTGATAGCATACTGGGTTGTTTCTTCAGATCTTTATTCCAAGTCAGTACTTTTTTCTTTCGCTGTATCTAATCTATTTAACCCATCCATTGATTGTTTATTAACAAGTATATATTTTTATTTCTAAAAGTTGTATTTTCAAATTTGCCTCATCATTTCTTATTTTATTATTCTTCATTGTTTTATAAATTCTCTCTTATTTTGTTAAACATGTCAGTTATTTTATATATATTCTGACAGAAGACTCAGATTTTTTCCAAGTATTAAACTTTGTGATAACTTCAAGGATATAAACAATCAAGAAGAAAAGCAGAATCAGGGTGTGGTCTGAAGTATTCTATATGGCCCCCTGGTTCTTTCCTTCCCATGTTGGACACATGTTCTTTGGCCCAAAATAATGAAATCTCTTAATTGAGGTTTGTGGGACATTTCAACACTGTGGAAAGTATCTGGATTATAAAACATCTGTATTTCAGATTCTGGAATGGAATTTCATAAGCTCTGTAGTTTTTACATTTTGGGCTAGATAATTCTTTGTTTTGGAAAGACTGTCCTGTGCATTATAGGATATTTAGCAGTATCACTGGCCTCTACTGACCAGAAGCCAGTAATACCCCACAGTCTCCAGTTATGAGAACTCAAAATGTCACCAGATACTGCCAGATGTCCCATGGGAGGCAAAATCATCCCTATTTGAGAACTTACATAGCTTTTGTGACATTCTGTAAGGAGCCATGCCTTAGGAAACTATAGATTGTAGTTTTGTTATAATAAGCAGTCTTAAACCAGGATAACCCTCCAAGAGTATTTCATAGATAAAGATTCCCCTCATAGTAAATATTATTAGTCTGTTTGCCAGATGGTTAGTTGTTTAGTTGTCAGCATGTCAACAAGGAGACTAGATCAGGTCATCTGACTTCTTTCTTTTCCTGGGAGGTCTCCCCTTCCCCAGCTTGTTATTCAGTCTCCCTGTTACCATTATCTTCTTTCCTCCATTTTTATTCTTTTACTATTCACCAAATAATTATCGAATGCCAAAAATATTCCAGGACTGTTCTATTTGCTAGGACCAATCACTGAAATAAAGGTGTTTTTTTTTTTTTGTTTATTTATTTTGTTTGTTTTTTGTGTTTTTTTGTTTTTTGTCATGAAGCTTACTCTTTGTGGGGTGAGACACATAAATAAAAAAATATCAAATATTAATTAGTGCTATAAGGATAATTGAAATTTTGTGCTTTGAGAGACAGTAACTGGGTAGCTGTTCTGTATTAGATTGAATGGTGAAGAAAGTCACATCTCAGGAGGTATCTTTTAAACCAAGATGTCTGTGGCAAGGAGTCACCTATATGAACATCAGAAAAGCATTTCAAACAGAGGGAACCATTAATGCAAATGCAGTTAGAAGGAAACATGCTTGATACTCCAAGAAGAGAAAAAGCCAGTGAGACTCTGAAAGCAAGAGATAATGGGAGATGAAAGCAGTGAGCATAAAACACAATTGGAGAAAAGATGAGAAAGTGCTTTCATCTCTCTCAGTGTGACTGGCAATAGTAATACACTATTGGAGGCCTGTGCTTGGGAATCTGTAGAGCTCATTTTGAAGGGATGTTGTAGTATACCCACAAACAAATGTTTTTGTGTTTCTTTTTCCTTTCTTCAGCCATAGAGAATGTGTTATTAAAAAACTTTGTGAGTAGAAAAAGTGTCAGGAGAATTTTTCAACATTGGTGGCAATTACTTTTTAACTAATTGATTTTTCTTTTCTCTTGTACAGGTCAATTTGCTGAGTTTGATTACCCCTCCAGCCTCCTCCCAAAAGATAAATATCATCTTGTTTTGTTTCAGTTTCAGGTTTCTCCTTGTATGGATCACTGATTGAATAATAGATGGCTTTACCTCGTCTCACAGGAGCTTTGCGCTCCTTTTCAAATGTCACCAAGCAAGATAATTATAATGAAGAAGTGGCTGACTTAAAGGTAAACTTTTTAAATGGAAAACATAATAAATGTAGAATGTGAGCAGATATTTGACATTCTTTTTCTCAATTCGGTGTGCTTAAAATGGTGAGTTTTATCTTATTTGGTGTTATACCAAGAAGGGGAATGGGTATACTGCTGTTTCCTATAAGAATACTTAAACACCTATGACTATTGTCAGAGAGAATAATCAGAACTATGATATTGAGTTCTTATGTTAATTTTTGTTGCTAAATTTCTGCCAGGTTGGTTTTTTTTGCTTTTGGTTTTAAATAATTTAATCCAGTAATTTACCTCTGGGTAATCTGAATGAGTTTATGGTGGATCTCTTTCTGGTAAAATTCTTATCAAGTGGACAAAAAATGTCTTTACCAGAACATGGGAAATAAGAATATTAATGTCTTAAAATCAGTACTTGGTCTCATAACTGACTTCTGTCTGGTCCTTGAATTTGTTGTGGACTTTATAGTCCTGAAGGTATATAAACTGTATATATGAACAAGTAAGCTATGTAATATATACATGAAGGAACTGACCCTACGTTTGTTCTTTTTTGTTTTTTGTTTTTTTCTTTTTAAATCTTTATTTATTAGACAGAGTGTGAGCAGGGGAGGAGCAGAGAGAGAGGGAGACACAGAATCCGAATCAGGCTCCAGGCCCTGACCTGTCAGCACAGAGCCTGATGCGGGGCTCGAACTCACAAACCTTAAGATCATTACCTGAGCCGAAGTCGGACGCTGAACCGACTGAACCACCCAGGCACCCCTGTTCTTTTTTGTTTTTTTAAACAAAAACAACAGTCACTTTGCTGTTTGTATTGTAGAATATTAACATTGTTTTCTAATAGGTTGGAATTTTATTGCTTATGGTCCTTTGACAGTTTTACAATTAATACCTTCACTTAAAGATTGATACTAGGAAGAGAATATTTGTTAACAGTCTTTAGGTAGATTTTTCCTCTAGCAGTGATACAGTTTTACTACAGAGAACAGTTGACCTTCTTTACAATGGGAGCTGTTTTGCATTTCTATGGCAATTAAAATAAGGCTATAGTCTATACAATTAGTTAATAATTACTGTCTTAAACTTATTGTTTTCTCACCTCACCTAATCAAGGCTCTTTTTACAAGTTACTTTATATTAGAGATAACAACATGATTTTAAAATCTGAAAATGTATAAGGACTACATGCAATTCCATGTCATTTATTTATTCTTGTAGTCTTTTAAACACTTTTTTTCCTGAGGGAAAAAAGTGACAGATCTAATGAAACTCATTTTAATATAACTTTTTATCTTGGGATATATCCAACAATACAAAAGAAAGGGAAAAGTAAGATCAACTTTTGTATACCTATGACCCATTGAAACAACTTAATTCAATTTATGGCCAATCCTTTTTTTTTTAAGTTTATTTATTTATTTTCATAATCTCCACACCCAGGGTCAGGCTCACACTCATGACCCTAAGATCAGAATTGCATGTTCTTCTTGCTAAAACAGCCAGGCACCTTTGTGGCCAGTCTTATTTCTATGTTTCTCCATTTTCTTCCCCCTAAACCCAGATTAATTAGCATAAATTAACATTTTAAATTGGAAAACTGAGGCAGGGAAGTAAAAACGAATTATGCAATATCATTAGTACAACCAAAATGAAAATTACAGTTTTCTGTCTGACCCACTACTTTTTCATTTGGTCAGAGGTCTTCATGAGGTTTAATCCTTGGGTCGAGGCCACTGGTATAAAGTGAAATTTATATTGCTTTATATGGCAGTTCTTAAGAATGGAAAGATTTATAGTCTTAAGAATAAAAGTATGTATAGATAAGAATCTCCTCAGTGGGGTTCCTGGGTGAGTCAGTCGGTTGGGCATCCAGCTCTTGGTTCTGGCTCGGGTCATGATCTTGTGGGTCATGGGTTTGGGCCCTATGTCCGGCCCCATGCTGACAGTGTGGAGCCTGCTTGTAATTCTTTCTCCGTTTCTCTCTGCCCCTCCCCCACTGACATGCACTCTCTCCAAATAAATAAATGAATAGACTTAAAAAAAAATTATTAAAAAAAAGAATCTTCTGGATGCTCAACTGTTTTAGGATCATACTTAGGAAAACAGTACTAATTTGAATATAGTAAACCCACATTTGGAATCTAGTTATGTGCAGTATGGTCCAAGCTGTGGTAAAAACAAGCAGAAAAATGGAAAAGAGGCATGTGGGATATTACCAAATGTTATTATCTGAATATCGGACTTTTTCATCTTTTTTTTTTTTTCCCTCCAAAGTAGTCTCCAAGCCCAATGTGGGGCTTGAACTCATGACTCTCAGATCAGGAGTCGATGCACTTTTGACTGATGCGGCCAGGTTCCCCTGGATGTTGGGCTTTTTGCTTTGTTTACTTTGCTGTATAAAAATAATTACATAATGAATATTCATGTGATTAAAACTATAAAAAATAAATTTTTATTAAACATATCTTTTAAAATGTGATTTTTTTAAAAATCACATTTAAATAAAGCTCCTCCTCAGAGCTTAGTTAAAAAGCAATTTTGAATTCTTGGTAGTGCCAGGTTGTATAATATAATGCAGAATATATGCAATAAGTGATGGCTTTAAGGAAACCTTTGACCAGTGTCTCTGTATTATGCTGTTTCAGGTGAAGCGGTCTAAACTTCATGAACAAATTGTAGACTTGGATGTTACATGGAAGAAGATAGTAAAATTTTTGAATGAAAAACTGGAGAAGAGTGAAATGCAAAGTGTAAATGAAGACTTAAAAGATATATTGCAGGCTGCAAAACAAATAGGTATAGTTTTGTTTCGTTTTATTTTGTTTTATAGAACCAGTAAGGTTCAAAAATAGGTTCCTTTTAAACTGTATGCCATATGGCGAAAGGCTAAAGTTTCCAGACAAGTATTTATAATTATGAAAGATACTCTTATATATCTCAGAGCTTGGGATAGAGTCGTAGAAACAGAATTAAATTAGTAATTAGTGTACAATCAAACATGACAGGTTCATAGGAATTTAGAGTTTGAAAACCACAATTATGTTTCAGGTAAGGAGAGGGTAAATGAAAATTATAACGTAGCTTGAAAGAACCTTAAAAACCATGTAGCTCAATTTCTTATAGATGCCCATCAACACATAGTGAGGGGCAGCACTGAAGCTAAACTTTGCTTCTATCCCTATTGTACACTAATATTCTCATCAATTGATTGTATTTGAAGGAAATTATAATTAGAGATTTTAATACTATATATTAATATAGGTTACTTTTCCAAGGTTAAAAAAAATAAACAAATGATTCTTTGTTAAAACATCTGAGTTTGTTCATTGGAATTCATCCTCTCATTCTAGACTCTGATAATTAAAAAGCATAGTTAACTCTACTGTAGTTCTAAATTTAGGTTTGTACCCAGAAAGTTCATGCTGATACTCTGGCCCTGTGAGATCTGGCCTCCACCTTTCTCTCTGACCTTGAGTCATCCTTGTCTTCGCTAATTATGCTTCATTAGACACTGGCCTTTTCTCACTTCTTCAGTCCAAGTTGGTGCCTGTTTTACTGTCTTTATATGTGTTATTCCCTGTGTTGAGAATGTTCTTTTAGCCTAGTCTTAGAGTGGTTAGATCTTTTCTTGTTATTTTGAACTCCACTAAAAACTTATGTCTTTAATGAGGCCCTAGCTGACCATCCAATCTCAAGTTGTTACTCAGTCACTCTTTGTCATATAACCTCAGTAACATTTTCTCCATAACATTTATCATTATCTGATATGTTCCTTGTTTGTTTATTGCCTGGGTTTTGCTACTAGGATGTAAGTTTCATAAGAATAGGATCTTACTTTTCTTGTTCAACACCTCATCCTTAGTGCTTAGAATAATGCTTTGTGTGTTTTAGGGTCTTAAAATTCACTTGATAAATGAAGAGGTTTTCATAGATGGTTTTTTGGTAGAGGAACATTTAGATTCTTTATCATATGCTGGTTGGCAGTTTTCTGGCCTACACCAACTTTGGGGAGGGTGTTTCTGTTAGATCTCATATACTTGACTTATTTATGATCATCAAATTTTAAAATTTGTTCTTCATAGATAGCACACTTTGATGTATTATTTGTCATTGGTTTGTAATATAACATAAAATTTAACGTCATTGTTTTAAGTTGTGAATGTACAAAATGAATGTCATGTATATTTTTATAGTTAGATTTTCTTCTGAAGTTCAAGGGCTTTAATAAGTAAAGGATTTTTTTGTTGTTGTTGTTTAAGCCTAGGGGAAATAAAGCATACTTTGATGAGATTTGTGATAGCATTTGGCATAGAATCACACTTTATATTTTAAAAATAAAGAGGTAGTTAAAATTCATTGGAAAATTGAGGCAAAAATGCAGAGTCTTCAGTTTACCTAGATCAACTTGACCAGGGTCTTAACCCTTTGGGACTTCCTATTTTAGGATATTTTCATTTCTGAGATGTTAGGGCCATTGTGGAGAGGGGGTGGTCTGACTAAAGAACTTTTCAAAAACTGTAGAAGAGTGTCTTTCCTCTTCTTTGGTTCAGTTGTAAAAATGACTCAAAATACTGGGGTGTCTGGGTGCCACAGTCAGTTAAGCATCCAACTCTTGATCTTGGCTCAGGTCATGATCTCACAGTTTGTGACTTTGAGCCCTTCATTGGACTCTGTGTTGATGGCCATCAGCACAGAGTCTGCTTGGGATTCTGTCTCTCCTCTCTGCCCCTCCTCCACTTGTGCATGCTCTCCCTCCCTCCCTCTCTCTCTAAATAAATAAAACTTACAAAAACATTTTTGAAAAAATGACTCAAAACACTCAGCAAAAACAGTTAAAATATTGAGTTTATCCAGTACCATGGCTAAATTATTTATTTAAATAATGTGGGAAGTAAGATTTTTTTTTAAAGATTTATTTAATTAATTTATTTTAGAGAGTGTGGGCAGGGGAGAGGGATAGAGGGAGGGAGGGAGGGGGAGAGAGAGAGAGAATGAATGAATGAATGAATGAATGAATGAATGAATCTTAAGCAGGTTCCATGCTCAGCACAGAGCCCAACATGGGGCTCTATCCCATGACCTTGACCTGAACCAAAATCAGCATACTGAGCCACCCCGGCACCCTGGAAATTAAGATCTTTTAAAAATAGGTTTCCCTTTAGATTTCTTCCCTGAGTATCTCTGACAAGTCAAAAATCATTGTTTTACATATCAGTCATTAAATGTAATCCTAGGAGTTTTACCTGTTGGCAAAACTTTCTGATACATACTCAGGGACTAATCTATTGATTGATGTGTTTAAGGAATTGATTATTTTGAGATACAGTATCTCAAAAGAATATTTTCATGACAGAGAAAACCTTAGGGTTGGATTTAGGCAAATGCTCTGTTGTGTCTACTTTTAAATGCTATGTTTAAGTTGAATAAGTATTAGCTTTAGCGAAACTAATAGTTGACTTGTAGTCAGCCACTCTTTCTGAATAAAAATACTGCTGATACTGGAAGCCTAATTAACATTAGCAACTTTGAAAAGATTAGTCTCATGGGAAAATGTTTTTGTGATTTTTTATATTGCTTTTTAACACAGGTAATTTGGTATAATTGTATTCAATAGAGCAAAAGAATAAAGAAAAAATAATCACTCCTATTTCAATTGAACATAATAGTATAAGGCACTTGTTTAAGACTATGATATCAACTAGTCATTGTAATGGGTATTTTAAGCTGGTAAGGAACATCAGAGAACATCTGGTCCAGTCTCTTTATTTTGTATGTAAAGTGCTAGACCTGTGAAGGTTAACTGAATCCCATGGTTGAGTCATGGTGAAGATAGACTAGACCCTGAAGTAGAAACATGATGGAAATAACTACATTCTTTCCTTTTCTTGTAGTCAGAGGTCATGTACTGTTAAGCCAACTTTTCAGCTATTCTTTTTTTTTAATATGGTATTTTACATGTTTTTTTATTTTAATTTTTAAAAATTTTTAAAAATTTACATTCAAGTTAGCATATAGTGCAACAATGATTTCAGGGGTAGATTCCTTCAGCTATTCTTAAATGCACTCTTTCTACATTGTTTATCATTGCTTTAGTTTAGGCTTTTGTCATCTCTTGTCTAATTTACTGCAGAAGCCTATTGCCTCAGCTTTCCTTTCTTACTCAACTTCTTTACTCTTACTACACTTATCTTTGTAAAAAGCAATGCTCATTTTTTATTTTCATATTACTCTTTAGACCAAATTCATTTGAATGGACATAATAAAAGTTTCTTTATGAATTGAAACAACTTGCCTTTTCATTCATTTCCTTGCCTTTCTACCAAATGTAACCTTTACTACTAACATATGCAATGTTGACCTAAGTTCCTGAACAGTGCTTACTGTTTTTTCTGTCTTTTATATGTTAAAATAACTTTCCCCTTGTGTTCACCTGGTCAGATGTTCCTCATCTCCTACGAAATGGCTTAGGTTTCATTCATGTCCTCTGTTATCCTTTCTAATCTTAGTAGATAGTGTTCCATTAGACTATCATCTATTCCATACTTTTTTATAGTATGGAATACTAGCACCTACTATGGTGGAATGGATACATACAGATGATGATCAATAAATAAGAGAAGTATTGAGAATTCAACTAATAGTACTTTGTGGTCTTTAGTACTTCTGCTCATGACAATGGACAGTGTCTTACCAGTAGCAGCTTCTTTTTTTTTTTTCCTGTTATTTTGAAGTATTTTTTCTCTCAGATTTATATTTAATATATTCCCATACCATTTTACAATTTTATTCTCCCTTCAATATTATTTTAATGATAAACTTAGCTTTAGAGAGAAAACATTATAAATTATGGCCCTTAACCTTAAGTACTCATTGTAGACATAGCGATCTCCTCCATGGATTTTGAAGGATAAGCATAGTCATATTAACCTATGTTCTGTTGGTGGTGAAACTTTTGTCAATATATTTTATGTGCTCTAAGTACAAACATTTTTTAAAATAAAGAGGTCAGGATTGAGAGTGTCAATCGATAAAATGCATCATGTATTAGGCATGTGTATCTGTTACTTAGAGTTTTAAATTCTCATTCCAGGAGGCTTATAAGCCTTCCACAGTGTAGTTAGAGAAACTAGAATTGGGGGTCAAGAATGTAGGGAAGGTAATTAGAAAGACCCATCACTTCCCTACTCAGCTATGTAACTTAATCTCTCCCAGAGCAAGAACAGAATGATCTAATGCTTTTACTCTGTTCTGAATACAGATTAGGACTCAGCCAGAACTGAACTAGTTTTTTTCAGTATTCACATTGTTTCACCATAGACCTGTTTGTTTTGACTTCTCTGATTTATAATCCCTGCTTTATTTGGGTTTTGATGTTTTTATCGTTAATAACTTTGTCTTTAAGAAAAGTATGAATCAAAATGTATGTTGGACAGGAGCGACTTGCAAAGTGTGGTTTAGGGAAATTGGTAATCCATTAACATTTTTTGAGTTGTAAAAGAAATAAGATTTTACTATAAAGAAGTGAGGAATCAAAACTGAGGGTAGAAAGCAGTTTATAAGGCAGTGACTGGAAAGGGGGGGTCTCAGCAGACATTAGGTGTTAGCAATGTCTAGATATTCTGTCTATATAACTAAGGCTTTGCATTTAGAATAATAAAGGGCTGTTGTATATTGGATGTGGCAGGAGATTTTTCAGGAGTATTTATGAAAAGTAGCTATCTTGAAAATTGCAAATTTCAAAAAAGTTTGGAGCTCCATGTCCCATAAATTGGCTAACAGGATAATTGGGAACAGCT